CTAGTTTACTCTGTCATTTTCATGTGGTATATGTTGTTACATTTATGTCTTAAAATGATTTAGCACCTTACTGGAGGTGAACCTATATATTTTTTATATACAGTAACAAAATGATGCCTGCATTGCTATAGAAAATAATTCAAATCCACATATCAAACAAACAAAAATACACAAGGGTCACATACACTTTATTATTAAAAAGGTCTTATACTTAAAACACACATAACAGTCGACAACACTGTGGCAGATTGTGGCACTCCTCTGGGTTAGTCCTCTTCAGTTGGTTTTGGCTGTGGATACAAGAGTGTGTGTTATTTTCCTGTACAATCTAACCAATGCCTTTTTGGATTTAGTATTATTTCATCATGACCTGTTAAAAGATGAGCATGTAACTTGTCAGTACGCAGAGTCTAAAGGTCCAGTGTGTAAGATTTAGGTGAAATGGATCTATTGGCAGAAATTGATTAATGTGAAATAATCCGAGTGATGTTTTCACTAGTGTGATCTAAATTTTCTGAATTGTTGTTTTCTTGACCCTAGAAAGGCCCTTTATATTTAAATACTTTATATTTACATCAGGAGCGGGTCCTCTCTACGGAGGCCGCCATGTTTTTCACAGTAATCCAAACTAAACACTAAACGCCTTTTGAGTTTCTGTGACGACTAGAAGGGGAGGGTGAGGTGAGGGGAATTCAGCTGCAACATGCAACTTCACCACTAGATGTCACTCAATTCTACACACTGAACCTTTACAGGTTATTGGCCATTTGAATGATTTGTAGTGTCTCATAATGTGACACCAGTAGGTGTCACTATTCCGCCGTGTTTCTCTCAGCTCTTTAACACCAGCTCTTTACCTTGGATTTGCCACAGTTTGCGATCTTGTTGCCTTTAGAAGAAAAATGAGAAAATGACGGATTAGTCTTTTTTCACATTTGTGTGTATTCTCGCAAAACAAAGCTACTCTCGTAACAGCAGTGAAGAAAACAGCTCTACGGAGGAAGCGGAGATAAATTAATGAACACCATGCTTTTATTATAATTACTGTTATTACTCAGGGACAACACTTTTATTTGCATCCAGCCAGTCTTTCCAATTACATACTGTAAGATATAAGCTGCCCACATTTACAAACACACAAAAACACACAGTCACTGAATGTGGCTGTTGACTCACCCGCCAACAGGATGATGGAGAGGAACACAATGACTCCAGCAAACGCCAGACCTCCAACACGTAGTGTGTAGTAGTCTGCAATTTCACAAATGACATTGTCACCACATATGACTCTACCCCTCATTTCTCTCACATTTTTTTTATCTTCCTCTTTCACATCTTCTAATGTATCTCACGTGGCTCCTGTTATTACTTTATCTCTCTACACATGACACATTTATTCGTCCATCTAAACTCAATGCGTGCTAGCAGAAAAGCCCCTCATCCCGTGCATGGTGTCTGTATTCTCTCTTTTTTCAGAGCAGTGGCAGAAGTTAAATATTTAAAATAAATCAGCGGACCAGAAACCCTCTAAGAGTTGTAGTTACTTACCATATACAAAGTCTGCATCTGGGTCAATGTCCACACCTGAGGATAGAGGGGAATGCACAAGGGTGAGCGTCGCCTGCTGTTGGCTCAGATGAGGGGAATGCTTATGAGAAACCATCAAAAATGGTCACATTTCATTGAGGTTCATTCATCCTATTAATGGATTTGGTAAGGGCTTTCAGATTTGAATGTCACTGTCTGACTCTGTGCAAACTGAGACAATAGGTCATAGTCAGTACTGCTCCATTTCCTGAAGGTGATTTTAATGCAGACGTTATGTTATTTCTGGGTAGACTGGGATGGAATTCACAAGTATTTTTCTGCAAATGTAGTTTTTTTATGCTATTCAATGTTTGATTCCACTACTGGTACTCATTGTCCACCGTTTCCTGTGTGGTGTTGTTCCTCACTGTATCACCCTGACAGCAGCATGGACAGTATCACGGCCAACAGCAGCATATATGGATTCTGTGAACATGATAAACTACTGCAGAAAGCTGTCATGTCAAACTGTCATGTCAGGGTACACTTTGTTTGACCGGTGTTCATGTGTTACTCTTAATAAGCAGTTAATAAGTCAACCTCATGTTACCCTGGTGCATGATTAACACCACAGGTCTGTGGTTCTGACCTTGTAAATAATATCGGACACACAAATGGTTGTCACGTTAAAGTGTAACTCACCTTTAGGAGACGACATGTTGCCTCGTCTGTTTGTATGTGTTCAGGGGACGAAACTGGAGAGACACAATGGAAAGAGTTAACAAAAGGCCGATGACAGCATCAGCCGCCAGCAGGTGATCCATCTACTTCTGCTGTTTTTAAATAATTTGACTCATCTAGTTTTTACTTCATGACAAGAAAAGTATGCACCATCACGCCTCGAATCTCAGACACATTGTTTAAGGATTCGGTTTCGTTGGCAGTCTTTCCATTTTAATGAATTGGAGATTTTGTGTCGAGGCTTGTTTGAATCGGCTTATGCGATTTAAATGAGAGGTGGCTGAAAGAGTCAGAAACTCTATACGACCGGACAAATTGCCTATGTTTCTTTTTTTCATGCTGCAGAGTTAATGGTAAAGTGATTACTTTGATCCTCACCGAGAACTTTAAGAGGCTAATAACGTGATTGATCCCCTCTCCCCCACCCCTCCTGTCTACACACAAACACACACACACACACACACACACACACGTGTCTCTCATTTGATCTACATCATTTGACCCATAATCATTAACTTACACAGATTAACAGACTAAAAATGTCCCCTCTCGGTCTCCACTTTGTTAAAGCGTGCCACTGTGAATTGTGGACTCTTTTCATTGCTTTCATTCATCATGTGTCTGGGCCTGTTCACTGCACCGCTGAGCCATGAGGGCATACCAGACAGTTACTCATTAATATATTACAGCTCCAATATTCATTAACCTTGAACCTTGCACAGCCTGATAGAGGTTATAGATGGAGCAAGGAAGAATAGTTGTGGTGACACCTGCCTGATAATACATAGCTAATGCTAAGGATTTTAACATATAATCACCACTGAAACTCAGCGATGCAAACAAGAACACAACTGTCCTCTAAACCTACTTTTGCAGTGTTTATTAATTAGGGCATGTGTGCTCTTATATTTTGCCTCTTAATATAATAAAGTTTGGACTAATTGGTCAATAATCACTGTTTAAAAATACACATTCTAAAAAATACCTAACAAACAAGCCATCCAAGCCACATAGTCCACCTTAGTCCAGAAACGTTGCCCTATATGATCTCACAGTAACAGTTACACAAATTTGAACTTATTGAATATTGAATCCTACAACATCTTGATTTTTATGACCTTTACATTTGAAAGTGTTTTATAAAAGCATGTGGACACTCACCTGAGCTGCTGAAGGATCTGTCCAGGTGCCTGTGTGTGTGACCGTGTCTCCGTCTGGGGCAGGTGCAGATGAAACTCCCCCCCCCACACACACACACAACCCAGTTTAACACGCCCATGTTCTATATTTCAATCCAGCCGCTCAGTTACATATTGACTTTCTCATAAATGTTGTACTCTGAACCCAATAAAGAGAAGATATGAACCTTTGAAATCACAGCAACATGTCATTGACTCTACTGGTGAGAAAAACCCACTTCCTGATGTAGTTTCATCGCCCCAAGACTAACTAATAACCTTGACTGACATTGAGGGGACGTTACTCCACTGATTTCAAGTGCTGTTGCCTGTGAAATCTGATATTTTTCTGACGGCTAAAATGTTCATACGCGAACATCTGGCTTTCACATAGAGAAACACAGAAAAAAAACATTTTCTTTTGTGTATTCAGACATACTTATATTTATTAAGGCTAAAAAGCACAACAGTTTGCTACACAGCAAGTGGTCAGGTGTTGAATGATCATAGAATGCACTTGTACAGCAGTCGTCTTGAAAACAGGTATTCTCAGACCTATGACTGGTGAAAGCCTGACCTGACAGGACTGGTTATTTGTTCTCTCGCTATGATTTGTCTTTCATTAGGCTACAATTGATGTAGTCACATATATCATGTGTATTTTTTTGAGTTTCACCCCTCTCAATCTCTGTACTGCAAACATGATCATTCAAAGCATCATGACATTAGAGAGACTCACTAACAGTTAAAATAAACAGACCCTGGCTTCACAGATTTGCAGCAGTAGTGAGTGTGTGTGAGGAAACTAATCATAGTCTGCTAGAGACTGGGTAATCCTGGCGGCGCCGGCGGCAGAGTTGAAGTATGGAAGAGAAGGCAGTGAGACAGCTGATGCAAGAGCTTCCTCGACTATAGACAATGAAAACACTGCAGTGGAAGAGCTCGTGCAGAAACCTGCAAACCATCCCTGTGCTCCAGTCCGAGAGCGGTGGCAGTTGAGATTGTCTTATATAAGGCTCATCACATTTACATGTTGAGAATCACATGCACCCGTGATGTACACAAAAACAAACATAAACAAAAGATGCACAATCAAGTGTACAAACATAGACTCTGATGATATTTAACTGCGTATGGTATACATAAATTATGTTTTTATAATATTTTATATTTTATCCAAATGCACCATGCTTACCTGCGTAATGTTATCTAAACACAATACCACAAATACATAAACATAGACATGGTCATAATGCCTTTTAGTCCATGTGGGAATAGTTAGAAAGAACCCTCCCCTGTCTTCCTGATGAGTTGTGAATCTCCTCTGACACACACTGACCTGCAAGTGTAGACAGATCTACACACTGTGAATAAAGCATGTGTGTGTGTAAGTGAGACAGACAACCCGACAGAGCAAGCAAATCTCCTCTAGCTCAGTCTGAGATCTGGGAGTGTGGCAAATTTTAAATTTTGCACGGTCTTACAGATTGTTTCCCCTTACAGTGTGTATGCAATTGTGTGCGCCTGCACAAAGACACATGCACATCCACTTACATGGTTTTACAGTGCAGTAGTCCCAGGGTATCGCAGAGTTGTTGGTATAACACCAGGGGCCATGTTTGTCTTTATCAGGATTTCTGCAGTAGTTTCCCTCCAGGCCAGCCATCAGCATGTCCCTCTCACCGCTGGACAAACAAAAAGATAACGTAATCTTTGATCAACATTCACAAAGCCCTGAAGACGATTTTCAAGACAAAAGGATGTTTTTTTAAGCAGATCATTCAGCTGTTGATGAAAGTAATAAGAATTTACCGGTGATTTACAACCCTAGAGTTAGCCAGATAAGATCTGGACAGTCAGACTACACAGCTGTGTAGGCTCTGCAAAGGGATTACTCACCGGGACATTATGCACCCACCTACACTCACATACCTTATGCATGCTCGTGTAGACATATCCCACACACGGGGGTTATTCTCCTAAGAATTTTAAAACCACAAACAGACCCATGCTAAATTCCTGAACTGAAGGTGGAGAATTGTAAGAGAAAAAGGGAGACACAAGAGAGGGGATGCTGGGTGCCAAATCAAATCTGTGTTTATACGTGCTGTATTTCTAGCAGCTAGCATAACAGCCGGCTCTCAGTCTGACTCCCAAACCCTGACTTCTGACCCTGGGTAGGAGCCAAGCGGCGGTACGATTGGCTTTGTGGTGTTCTTACAAAGAAGGGGGTTTAGGGTCAAAGGTGAGGAGTGAAGTGTATATCCCCCAGCCAAGTTATCACTGGGAGTCATTCCTGCGGAGTTAGGTCATCTTCAGCGAAACACTTCTCCGGCCATTAGGATATGCTGGAGAGGCTACTCACGGCACCCGCAGGAGCTGTTTTGTCCTCGGAGAAAGAAGAGGCCCGACTTGATACGCTAACAACACTACGACTTAACTGGAGGTCGATAATAGGTCACCTCCCCACTCTAACCACCACATATCATGTTCGCACACATGGTTCTTGAAAACATAAATGCATTCTCCTGCACACTGAGGCTTTCATGGACAAGCCTCTTTCACTGAGAGCTAATTTCTCAAGTACTCTTTCTCCTTTTGAAACCCATACAATTTGCATTTTATGATAATTTTGCTCATTACCAGTTGTTTTCTTTGATGCCACTGAGTTCTTTAAAAATCTCGCTGTTTGCTAGACTCCAGTGGGTCGGTACAAGAACTGTGGGACATTTTGATCTCTATTTTTAGCAACTCATTCTTGTCTGTAGTTTATTGATTGTGTAGATCTGTTTTGTACATTGTGGTTTGGGAAAGTGGCCTGTACCTGTTGCTGTGGTCAGTCCAGGGAGTGCAGGGCAGGTTTGATCTAGTCCTCGACAGCTCTCCTTGGTAAGTCTCTCCAAAGCCTTCGTAGCAGTCTAGATTTGGACAAAAAAGAGGAAATTAAATCAAATAGGCAAACTAGAAATACAAACAACTTTGAACAGGAAACAAGAGGCAAGAGTCAGGATTGCTAAGCTTACGTAAAACTGCAAAACCCTGACCCAAATCTACAAACAGTCATTGTGCACTTGTCATATGTTGTGCTACTAATGTACTTCTCCCCCCAAAAAGGGGCACATCTATTATAATCAGACGAATCAAAACAACTCCTAAATTCTTAGCTACTATAGTTGTCTTTGGATCTAGAGCTGGGAAATCTACAATGATATCTTAGAAAAACATGGGCCATAAATAAGGTTTTGGTGCTGTCTGTCACCGTACATCTCATACGAGAATGCATTCAACCCTCTAGGGTAGACCACAACACAGCCTCAGAGAGGCATTATAATCCTGATGCAAGGCCATGCCATCTCAAAGAAATACCCCATAGATCCCCTTGGGAAATTTGAATTTGCGATCTACATCTTTTACTTCCAAATCTCTTGCTACCCTGAAAACAATCCTGTCAAGCAGTAATTCTTCCACTCCATCTTTCACTGTCCAGTGAGACCTGATGATTCTGAGCACTGTCAGGGTTCGTTTATGTGAGGCGCGGTGGTCCGTCCTTCCCACAGTCCTATAGGGCAACAGTTTTCCACAGGGACAGAGTAAACGGGGCTACTAAATAATATGTGTGGTTACAAGGTCTCATGTGAACTCAATGGTTCACAAACTATGAAAATGCTGAATATTGTTCTGCTACTGATGTAGAACAAACCAACTCTCTCCTTGCTGTTCTGAGTGTTGGATAAAACTGTTGAGACTCTCACCACTGACATGCTTTGTCTGGGTGCCACACTGAGGGATGTTGGTGCAGAACATTGTGCGGACTCTAGGGTCCATAGTGAAGCACCAGGGGGATTCTTGGCCATCTGGATTGCGACAGTAGTTTTCTCTCAAGTCCCTAGAAAACACAGAGAAAGCCTAGGTTATTAACGAAAGATTTAAGTGCATGCAGGTGGGTGAGTGAGTGGGCAGTTGTCTTATGTGAGTGTGACTCACTTGCAGGGGTAGGCTTGAGGAAAGAATGTGTGGTTGTGGGGATACTGAGAGTCCCAGCGTTGGCAGGCGAGTCCGGTGGGCGTCATGTCCACCGTCCCCTTATAACCCCGCCCTCTGCTCTGGTAACACTCGGTTGTTTCCACCATATTACTTCCAGGGGGGTTTTCTGTGAAAGAGATAAAACACCGTAAGGGGTTAGTTAGGTTGGTCAAGGGAGCGCACAAGACGTGTAACCCTAACCCTAACCTTACACAGTTTTATCGGGTTATATAAAAGAATATAGTATATAATACAAATTAAGACTTTTGTGGTGTTATAGTTGTAGCATGAAAGACAATTGATAAATCTGAAAATATTTTACAATTATTAAAACCTGCTATTATTGAAATTGCCAAGCTATCCACCAAAATATCTTATTTCCTACAGCACACTCAAATCTTGATCAGACTAATAAATACTGGAGAACTCAGTTGAACAAGAGGTATCCTATAATTACAGTCAACTGTTTCAAGCAACCCCAAATTTTCACATCAGGATAAAATTTCACATGTGACCGCACCAAAGTAGAAAGGGAAATTAATAAAAGGAAAGTTGGGCCGCCTAATTTATGCTGGGATTTGCACAGAAAATGCAAAGCAAGGATGAAAAACCAAATTTGGAGCTGAGTAAACGGCATAAGAGCAAGGCAAACTTGAATGAACTGTGGCATTGCACTGAAATCTTGATGAACTAGATTGTAGGTTATAAAGCAGCACTCACGGTCTTATTTCACTGCCCATACAAGATTGTTTAAAATGATTCTTCTCACTCACACATGTGATGTAGCGGCCCTGATTCCAGTCATAGCAACCACACAATGCAGGATTTTTTCTGTCAGCACCAAATGCTTCAGATTGTAACAGGTTGCTCGGATCAGGAGTGAAAGCGAAATAAATTGGGTCAAAACTTCCGGTGTGTGTGTTTTAATCAGGTTGTTGCACATTAAGACAGTTATATTGAATAATAAATAGTAAATGATTTAGCGCTCAGGAAGTATTCAGTGCCTCTGATATAAGGAATGGCTGAACAGCCTCAATGTCTTGGCCACCTGCTTTCCCCCGAACAGCGCCCTCTATGTGTTTTGATTAGGACGACCTACAGTTTGATGGTGCTGGAAATCGTATCTGCTTGACTTTTCACAAGGGCTGCTCATTATACAGAAGTTACATGAGTTCATTCATCTGAACATTGTGCATGATTGCATCACACGATGTGTAAAGATGCACATCCTCACAACTATAAAACAGATGTTTTCAGACTATGCAGTGAATCTAAACATAGATATGGACTGGTTATGATAGTAAACAGTAAACAGGAGGCCTTGACAAAAGACCACTTTGTCTCTCTGTCTCTTGCCCTCTCCTCTCTGCCTTGTTTTGATTAAGGCGAACTGGGTCATAAACGTAGACTGTTCCCAACAAACTCCCATATCAGAGAGAGAGAACAGAGGGAGAGACAGAGAGAGCAGAGAGTAGGAGATGGTTTTTAGAGAGGGGGAAAAAAGCAGGGGTTGGGGGGGCAGTGAATCACTGGGTCCACATGGAGGAGTGCCATCTAGTAAACATGCTGCCAGGGCTGCTGATGATTCTAGCAGGAAAACAGGCCACTCGCAGACTCAGGAGAAAGAAGCTGAGCCCTGTAATAACACGACTGCTCCCTCTCTCTCTCTTGCTGTTTTATGTTCTCTCAGCGACTTGTTCCTGATGACATGGTCAACAAAGAGCATGCGCTGATCTGTTGGTTTACAGTGAGAGCACGGACACGACAAAACTCAGGCTCACATGCCCCGCTCCAACACATCTATCACACACAAGTGTAGGAGGTGTAATGAAAGCAATCTGCTTGTAGTGTGTATGACCCTTGCGTGGTGTCTGTGTGTAATAGGAAGTTAATGTGGAGCAGTAACTGAGCTCTGCGCCGTTTGACCACCACATGCAAGAGCTGGCATAGAACAATAAACAGCAGGTCAGTGGTGCAGCGGAAAAATAAACATTCTGGCTGTTAGAGAAGACATAACAGAGAGCCAGCGCTAAGAGGGGGACTTTGTGGGTGTGTGTGGGTGTGTGTGTGTGTGTGCGGTTGAGTGTGCATTCAATAGTATCGGCCAATGAGAGGGAGAGGAGTGGTAAAATTAAAGGTACGGGAAGTTGTAAATTTTGGTGCAGTCAATCACGCTTCATGGTCCTGTACCGAAACTCACACACACCCGTGCATAGACAAGCGCCTATCATGCGTGAGAAATGTTAATGCATTCAACCAAACACAAACAAACATGCTTACCACAAACTTTGATGTTGCAGTACTCCCAGGGTGTGTTTGGGTCTGTGGTAAAGCACCAGGGTCTGTGGCGTCCGTCTGGGTTCCTACAGTAGTTATCATCCAGGCCCTGGTCAGGGAACCTAATACAAAACATACAGTATAATATAACCACAGGGTAAAGAAAGAAAAAAAGCTATATAAAAGTAAGAAAAAAATGACATTTTTGCAGCCGATAGCACAGCTCTTTACAAAATAGTGGCACAAAATACTAATTGTTACATCATTCTTAAGGCCCAGAGGTACCTGAAAAAGATTCCCAATCCGTATGAGAAGCGAGTACAAGCAGAAAGACAAATCACCATTGTACGCATCTGAAGCATTAATAACAGGAATGGTGCACAGACTCCTATCTGTGAATCTGCTCAAAGCTCGGGGGAAGCAAGGAATAAAATGAACTACAGCGCTGCAGGTGTTCTACGAGAGTAAGTCATCCCTGAGTCCCACATCCCTCCAGGCCTGCAGCCTCCAGGTTACTCTGTATCAGGCTGAGGGACCCTTTCATTACATTAGCGCTATGAGCAGTCTGGGACTTCATTTACACAAACACTGGGATGATTAAGGATGTGTTAACGAGTCCCCCACTAATCCAGACCACCTGCCATCCCACAAGCTGGAACAGTCTCGCCACAGATGCACACAGCCAGCGTGCACACACGGAAAGAGTACGTAAGGAATACGAACACAGCCGAAAATATATGGCCTCCCTAAAATAGGTACAAGCTTATCTCATGGCTGGACATAAGTCTGTTCTATAATATACTGAGCTTAAAGGAATTTGGGCCAATTAGTACAGCGTGAAGAGTTTTCCCAGCATAATGCTGCTAAAAACACCAAATTACACAGTGGATTCTGATGGCAATCTCTCAGGGAAACACACACTGTCTGACTCCAAATCACTTAATCTCCAGACTTAGTGCACCACAACCACATGAAAATATTGTATCAATGTGTTATTAAATGAATATTCTCATAGTGTTTAAGTATTATGTTACATGAATCCATGTGTGTGGGCTTAAGTGCGATTGAGCCGGCACAACTCACTATGATGCTAAGTGATGCTATGCATGTGTGTGTGTGTGTGTGTGTGTGTGTGTGTGAGAGAGAGTGTGTGTTAGAGTGTGTCACCTCTTGGGGTGGTACAGGTGTTTGTGTGGTTCCTCCAGGTCCCAGCGCTGGCATTCCCTTCCACTCTCTGTGTGGTCCATGGGCCCTGTGTAATCTTCCCCATTACAGTTCATGCACTCCACTGTGGAGCAACGACACACACACACACACACACACAAATACACAGAACAAACAGTTTAGAGAAACATTATCAACAATAAGGACTTTGCTTTCCCTAGGCGACACTCTGAGCACAGAATAAAAATAATTGTAGCTTCCAATTTAATACATTTTACTTCGTGTTTTCTGCCCAAAATTGGTTGTGAAACATTTTGCAATAAAACCCTCTATATATAATTACTAGATCTCCAGGTTCAGACTTTATATACACATACATTTGTGTATATAACGTATAGAGGTACATATTATATGTCGCACCAATGAAGGCAATGCTATCTTTGATGTAAAAGCACCATTTCTTCCATGGTGAGTATTGAACACTGTCTAGTGTAAACAACAGAGAGCATGTAGATTAGAAACAGATGTTTGTGAGTCCACTGCTGTCATGACAGAGCATGTTTAGTACCACTGGCTGCCTATGTGCGTGTGTGTGTGCGTGTGTTTGTGCAGCACGCCATGTTTTCGTATCTGTGTGTGTGTTTCCCATTAGGACCAGCTAATTTTTGGAGAAACACTTCCAGTATTTTCTCCTGAATGAAAGCAGGCGCTCGATCACAATAAAAAGTCATTACCTCTGCTGTAAAACCTGTGATAACCCTGGTGGGACACCATATGTGAGCTGGAGAGCAAGAAGGATTCCCTCCCTGTCTTATTGAACCTCAGCCCGGTTCCTCATTAACGTGATCCAGTGTCATACATGCGGCGGAAACAGCCCCTCTGACAGGATGAATCCCCAGCGATTAGATAGCAGAGGTCATTATCATCCCTTTCTTCAGGAAGACATCAGTGCCTGACAGTGATATTTTGTGCTATGACATATACGCTGAAACACTGATGAGACCTTTTCCTTTTCTCTCAACACAACCGGATGAATATCTAAGTTTTATTTATACAAACTCACAATTTGAACTCAGCGGTTTTCCTTCTGTGTGCACCAGAGGGACATGTAACAGCGAACAATTTATATATTGGATGTGACAGAGGGATTAATATCATTTTACATTCCAACACCAGCCTTTAGGTTCAACCATTTAAAAAAAAACCTGGACATGATGGAATGAGAGAGGACAGCGTAAACTGAACCACACACCTGGAAATGGCTGCAGCTGGCCTCGTGTGCACCCTCACACACACACACGCACTCACACACACATGCACACATACGACTGCAGAGCGGAGCACTGTTAGGGCCAGTGTTGCTCAGTCCAAGGTATTACATGATTGCCAAATTTTCTGCAGCTCATTTCAAACTATTAAGCCTCGACTGGAGAGGCAATTTGCAAGATGCGATATCTTAAGAATGAATGTTGGCTCAGATGTTTTGTATGTGTGTTTCTGTGTGTGGAGCCTACCCTGTGAACACTGTGGTATGCCACACTCCTGGTGTCTGAGGAGGTCAGTGGTGAAGCACCATGGGCCAACGGTGGAGTTGTCTGGGTTGCGGCAGTAGTTTTCTCTGAGGTCCTTCTTCCTGAACCTCTTGGACATGAATCTGTCACGAGCAGAGGGGCAGTCACACAAACAGACACATGTACCAAAACCAGTTGCCAAATATTTCAACTAGCATGAAAGGCTAAATATTTTCTTTTCCTTTTTTAAACAGCCAAGGCCACTTTTTGTTTCTATGAAAGAATGACGAAACCTTTCTTCGATGAAAGAGTTTAAACCTGACGGCTGAAGCCTGTTGATATGACTGGTAAAAATTAACAAGTGGAAAAGTAATAGATGGCAATGTTAAAAGATCAAACCATCAACGACATGAGGTTGTGAGTGAAAGAAAACACATGTAATATGTAGAAGCAATGTTAGTTCTCCACTTGAATTGTTCTGAATACAATGTAAACACATTGACAAATGACTCACATCTTCTACATCAGGCAAGCATATGGCTGTGGTCAACAGTCGTGATGATTTATATAATGTCATCTTTGAGTCAGACTTTGTTTTCCACATGATGATGAAAAGATTAAAAATGTTCGTGGGGTTTTCAGTGGATTGGGTAATGACAGGGACAGAAATGAAAAGACCGTAGCAGGGCAATCAAAAAGAGGAGAAACCCTTCACTGATAAAAATGCAATTTGTTCTTTGTGTGTGTGTGTGTGTGTGTCAGTGTCAGTCAGAGTTTCCCAGGCCTGTGAGTCGACTGATAAAACATACAAAGTGCCTGGGTTTAATTACCTGAACTACAGAGACGTTACTTGTGCTCTGATAAAGCAGGTTCACTGGAGGTACAACTGTACGCTGCCCTTTTTGATTTGTCTGCTGCAGCGACAACTCACTACAAAGCTTAGCAAAGTCATTGGGGGGGATGGGGAATGAAGGAGGTAGCATGTGTGTGTGTGTGTACAACATTATCTAATAGTTATACGTGTGACATGATAAACTTTACTTCTGTTTTCTCCTCAGTGTTGTTTTTCCAACATTATTATTATTATTATATTTATTATCTAACATCTAAATTTCATGTGTGTTATAAATCATCTGTGTCATATTTTGCCCTGTTTCAGAAACTATGATGATAATAATCACTTAGAACAAGCAGGAGTAGACTGAATATGAAATACTGCTTTGAAGATTTTTGCAAAGATTACTTCAGTTATCTTGTCACTTACCAGGTTGTTCCTAAAGATCAGTAATCATTTCACTGTCATAATCTTTTAGGAGACATTGCTTTACTTGCATCTTATGGTTACATTGGTTCTTTTCTGTTCGGAGCAGCACTGTATCAGAGAGTCTGCCTGTGTATTGAAAAGTGACCCTAATCTGGGAATAAAGACGGGGCATGCACCTACAGTTTAACCACAGGATGCCAATTAGATATGATTGTAATCCCAGTAACACACCCACACCCACACACACACCCACACACACACACACACGCACACACACACACACACACACACACACACACACACACACACACACACCTTGAGTGTAGGGACACGGCAGGAAATGATCTGTCACTCTGTAAAGTGTTACAATGAGGTCAGTTCTGATGAACGACTGAATGCTCTCAAGAGCCTAATCAACCCTAATACATCATACTCATTTACACATACAAACATGTACAGACTAGCCTCCAGCTACTATAGCTAATTGCATCTCTCACAGGCCAACACTAACAGTGAGAATTAGCTTTGACACAATTTTCTTTGACGTTGTGAGAGAGTCTTACTTGTGTTCATGAGGAATAGGAGAGGCCCAGGCCTGACACAGGATCCCACTCACTGTCACTGACCTCCGGCCCCTGTAGCTCTGACCTGTACCCACAATGCACTCTCTGACATAGTCTGGAATAGAGACAGAAAGAGCGAGGATGAGCGGACTGACAGAGATAAACTACAAGAAAGACATGATGAGCCAACAACCTGAGAGTGATGTCTTGCACACAGAGCCAGTGTGGCCAGTGATGAGGAAAACAGACAGACAGAGATGTTCACACTGAGCTGAACAAGGACAGGACAATGCCAAAAGCCAAATCTGTTTTCTTAATCTTCTGCAAAACATTTGGTTCAAGCAAACTAAGCTGCACAGCTTGCATGTTCAGTGCTGTGCTCAGTCCTGAGTCAAGTGGGGTGGGGGTTTCCATCATTTACACAAACACGGCTTAATGACAGAAAATTAACCATAATGTGCTGCAACACAATAAACACGACAATGGTCCTTCCCTTCCTCGTCTCCCTCTGGAGGAATGCAAACTATACAAAGCTAAATCACTCTAAAGAAAATGGTTATAAAACTCGATGACATTCTGGATTTTAAAGCCACATTGAGTAGATATACTGAAACAGTGTTGCTGATTAGAAGTGAAACTATATCAAGACAATTTTTCTAAAGGAAAAACATTGTGACAGAGGTCAACACTGCTTTGGTGTGAGGTGGTAAAGAGTCAAGGTGGAACAGTAGACGGTACCTTTCTTTTGATAGAGTTGGTAGTTGAAGTCCTGTTGGATCTGAGCTCCTGGTACGTTCCTATCAAATGACAGCCACTGGCATTTCCTGTTTTTATGATCATAGAGGAATGCTCTGGAGAATAAGGAGGAGAGAGAAGGAGGCAGAGAGAAAAGGAAAGAATGATATACTTAATGGTCACTTTACTTTAACTACTCAGAGCTAAAAGCAACGGGGCAATTAAAACAGTTGCAGTTGTATGCAGAGCACTTTGGGAGCCTGCTGGACCGGACACACAACAATGGATTAAACCTTTAATGAGCATAATTAAGCAAACATGAGGAACCACCACTTTACTCACATTGCAGGAGAAGTAGCAGATGAAAAGACGGTGTCATTAGGGCAGACGTACCTGCAGGTGAATGGGAGTCTTTTGTTGCGGCTGCAGGAACGGGCACACCTGGCCATGCTCAGCTTTCTGGTTGTGGTCAAGTGGGAGGGATCAGAAGACACCATGACCAACCGGATACCCTCAGTCTTCTGATAGTCCTGGAGCGCATTTCGTCTGCCCTCTGATGCACAGTTACACAACATGACCACTCAGTGTTTATTTAACAATTATGCATTTAGCTGACACTTATCTGCAAAGAGCATGAAGCGGAGCCCACCCAATTTATTGGTTGGCTGAGAATAATGTTTGCTGATATGAGCCTGCAAAATGTTTTATTTTACAGAACAATGCATTTCAGTCCATATTTTCTTAATTCAAATTCTATAAATGTGCTTGTATGCGCTTTGTTTTTACTTTTAGTTATTTAAAAGATTGTTTTATTTTTCATTTCTATGTCATAAGGGTTTGATAACGACATCTTAGGAATTATTGCCATATTTTTACTGGCCGATATATTGGTATTGGATATTTTTTGGGCTCCTAAAAATATTGTCCATGCTCTAGTATAAATTACTAAAGTACTGTGCCGTCAAGGTTCATGTTTCTGATGACAACAATACACACAATAAGCCTCAGCACGACAACAAGCATGTCTGCCAACTTGATGGTTTGGTTTGGTTTGATTTTATTTTTATTATCATTGTTTTATTCAATATTAAAGACTCACTCTAGCAAACCAGTCCCTGTGGTCTGGGAGACACTGAGGATGATCAGCTAATTAGGACACATTGAGAACACTGGGCAACAGCATTACAATGTGTGAATTAGTCTGATTTAACTGCTATTAATGTAAAGGACCTAATGGGATGCACAGTCATTTATCACCGTTCCAAATAATACCAAGGTGGACAAGAACATACACACACACACACACACTGGCACACAATCAGTGGTGGTTTTGCCTCAGTTGTTGATGGTTGCACTCACTGTCAATTCCAGAGCTTTCATCCGAATAGAAAACTCAAGCTGTCTATGGTCAGAAGTTGCCATCGTGCACATGCATCTCAGAGTTGATGTGTCAGATTCAGTGTTTGGGTGTTTTGGTTGAAGCGGTGAGCACCGTGACAATCACAGAGGACCACATGCCGGGATCAGAGTATTTGACCCATCCTCAACTTGACTTCACCGGCTCATCAGTTTCTCTGCCTGAGCGTCTGTGGTGCGCACTGAGCCGCGTATTCGCAACCGGGTGATTGGTGCTCTAATCTGATTGTAACGTGGGCCATTCTGTGGGGCGGTGGGTTATATCTAGTCACTTTATCGAACTGATCCATCTGATGGTCCAGTAAGATGACCCACAGTAGTAATGCGTCCCTGTGCGGTGAAATGCGCGGAGTTGGGATTACGCGCTCTGGATCACCAGCGATGGCAAAAACGTCGGTTTCATATCTGTCCAAAATAGATTATTTGATCATGTAGCAATGATCAGTCTAAGATCTCCTGGCTGATTTGAAAATAACATCTTAATTTAGTCTATCTTTTCAGAAATAGATGGAAAAATAGTCACAAACAGTCTATTGTAAAGTCTTAACGCTGTAGAGTTGTTGTCGTAAAGTATCACACACAACAGAGAATGATTAGGTTAGAATAGAATAGACTGGAATAAAAGTAGGTTTTAAAACTAAAGCCACAGTTTGACAGTCTGCTGAGCGCATGGTGCGTTCAGGCGTCAGTTCCAGTCCACGGTGACGCACGACAGACGGCGATCATCGTGGTTGTACAATAGTTTCCTCCAAACTTACCAGAACAGGAAACCAGGACGAGTCCGAGAACGATCTTGTAAATCCACATCCCCGCGTCACAACTCAAACAGCTTCGGGAACAAACTGGGACACGTTGCTTCTCACTGCGCAGCGCTGTCGAACTGCAACCAGGAGATGTTGCTTCCACCACTGCACAGATGATGCGTCTCCTCTCTAAGTACTTCCTCGCCTCCCTCCCTCCCTCCCTCCCTCTGCGGGTGTATGACTTTATCTCTCTCTCTCTCTCTCTTTCAGCCTCTCCCTCCCTTTCTTTTATCTCTTGCTCTCCCTGTTCCTGTTTTCTCTTTCAGCCTCACTCCTCCTCAGTTTCCAGTGTTGTTATTCCTTTTAAAGTCGAAAACACAATATCAGCAAAGCTTCAATAGTAATGCTGAATATATATTTGTATTTGTTTTCATTCATTGTATTTCTATTCATTCACACCCCATAGACAACACCTATTGTGTTGTGAGAATATTAATGGGAAACTTGTGGTTCTTTATTTCTTTTCCTTTATCTTTTTTTTAATTAACATTCCTTCTGACACAGCTTCTATATGATATAAAACAATAAAGTTGTGTTATTATTTACTATGATCTATCTATCTTTAATGGTGATAGATAATAACATTGCATGTTACTTAAGCTGAGTTTTATTGCATAAAGCATTTCCATCTTGTGCAACAAGAATCGTCTCTTGAGAACCAACTGGAAAGTTCATCTTGATAAATAAAACAGTGTAAAAGAATAATACATAGACTTCTAATCACATTTGAATGACAGTCATATTATGTCCCTGTGGGAAAATTATAGATGAATACTAATGTTTATAGATTCATCAGATTCTGTGTCCTCTCTTCATACAGCAGCTTCCCACTCAATCATGTACTGGCAGCCACTTGTCAGTGACGGGAAACTCAGTGGAGATGCAAAAGAAGGGGGGTTGGGGGGTGGTGGGGTGGAGTTTGTTTATGATACTTTTCTTCTTCCCCCCTGTGTTAGATAAGGACTGCAGTAACTGGTGTGTGTGTGTGTGTGTGTGTGTGTGTGTGTGTCCCAAGCTGTCTTCTGAGTACCATCCTATTTGCAGTGATGACAGCATGAGATAGGAGACATGACACTTGAGCTGGCCGTAGCTTTTTCCCTCAAACATCACCTCTGATGCGTCGGTCACACGGCAGCACTCCTGTCCTCCGGTGACAGTGCGATGGGTGCACGTTAAGTACCCATCAGAGTGCAGATTGAGATGTTGTGGATTAAATAAAATCTGCACAAAATAAAACAGAGGAATAGATGGATGAACATGGAGGAGGCAGTCACCATCTTCTCTGTGCTTCAATGAGTAATGTTCCTGCAGCTTCCTGACAGGATCACAGAGTCATACGCAATTACAAACAATCAGCCATGAGTCAGATACTTTCACTAGAGCGCAGCGCTAATCTCCTTGTCTCTTCTTCTTTCCCTACCTTACATGCAACAAATCCACATATACTGTCTCCTGCAGGCACTGACACTGCTTTTCTCCCATCTTTCCTTTCAAATGCACATACACGCACGCTCACAAACACGCATGCTCGCACATAATGAGCAGCAGATGACTGGATGACCTTCACCAGTTTGAGCGCGCCACAAAAAGCCCTCATCACCACAATCTCATTACTGACTCTCCTAGCAAGAATCCAGTGGGTGTTTCTGAGAGCGACGGCTTCTGCCTAGACGACAGAAATGAGAGAGAGAAGCTCACATGAGGGCTGTCACCATTCGAGAGTCCTCACATCTGTGCCTGGTTATACCAGAAACTTCATATCTTCATACGGCTGGTAATAGAGGCAGGAAGTCCAGAAAGCGATGGAGATGATATGGAGGATGAATGAGTTGATACACAGAGTGAGGGGAGATGGAGAGCAAAAGTGAGAAAAGGGGGGGTTTACTGTAGCAGGGATGTACAATACAGACCAGTGTATTCTAGGCTGCTCTGTTTGAGTGTTTTGGTGTATTATTATACTTCCTGCAGATTTGTAGGAAGTTGCAATGGGTGAGTTGTGTGTTGTATATTGGTATCCCTCCTTGCATGTACATGCAATATATGTGCAAATCTTCAGATGCAAGATATTAGTTGGGCTTCATTGTGACCTCTACTGTTCCAGCTTCTCGTCCAGATTTCATCCATATGACCTTAAGTACCAGAGACTGTGAGTGAAAGGGGAAATGGAAAGAAGGGGTCACAGGGACAGGGGACATGATGGGAGGGCTCAGGTATTTCACTGTGATGAGAGAAAGAAAAAAAAAGTTTCAGACATGAAAATTTTAATTTTCAGGAAACTTCCAAACAGAAATGTTACATGATTGAGGTTTTCTGTGATGAAAGCTTCTGAATGGACCTGACATCCACTGAGGAAACACAGACACACCACTGATACCCCCACAGAGTGTGTGTTGGGTTCAGTGATGACAGTGGTGTGGATAGACGCTGTAAACACAGATACTGTGTCAAGAGATCCTCCTTTAAACAAACACACACTTCCTGTTGTCGGTACATGTGGTTGTACTCGTAATTGAGATCTGGTGACAGTTACAAGTTACAAAAATAAACCACACATAAGCACAATCTGTCCGTGCAAACAGGCACCGAGGCTTCTCGGATAAAAGTTGTGTAAAACCGGACATTGTGTTCGTCATTACAGCCCTGTATTCTGCCGTGTTGTAATTTCAGATTGTGATACTAGAAGAAAGCAGGAGAGTGGGCAGCAGACAGTAATGCAAGAGAGGAGCTTTAACATATTGTTTTATTATCATGCACATTAGCAGAATGAGACACCGACACATTCCCAAAATAACTTTAAAGAGGATCAAAGGATCTTGACAGAAGCCACTCAATGTGCTATTGATTTTCCTCTTAGATAATTCACTTCCTAATAGCTAACAACTGGTTTTGACATTGTCAATAACAATAATGAAATAATGACATTCAGAAAGTAGAGAACAAAGTTTTATGGATGAGTCATATGAATCAATGATATGTTTGATAAAGCAGTTGGCAGAGTGGTGCAGTGATTACCACATTTTATTTAATCAAATCACCCTTATTATTTTGATTTATTTACACTAACTCAACGTGAAAGAAAACAAATCATTTAATTGAACTCATGTAATACAACTACATCAGAATTTAATCTGTAACTGAAAAACAGAAAGTCACTGTAATAGGCAAAGTTATTTTTTGAGTGTGATTTGACTGTTTTGTCAAAGGCCTTGATAAATCAAAAACTAGGACAACACAACAACAAATAAAAAAAGCAATGATAAAGAAAAACACAACAAATCACAACATATGGCATTAACTTCCGATGTCTTCTTAACTGAAAGGAAATGCTGACATAACCAGTTTTTGTTATTTTTCTGTTGTGCTTTTTATTTGACATTGTGTTTTTCAGGGTCACCATATTTATCAGAAACTTTTTAAATTCAAGCTTTAACAAAATAATCTTATTGTATATGTTGAGAGATGCTGAATCACTTCAGTTTAACAGAACAGGTCCAGTTCAGTACACGGTCCTCATTCTGCCTTTTGTCTGTCCCTCCTCCTGTGTTTATGGGTGTTGATGTGAACATTTGAGACAGAGCGTTGGAACAATTCATGGCCTGGTTAGTTTGTATATCCACACAAGCCATAACTGTTTAAATGACATATCCTTCTGCAAACACATCAACATCCCACATGCACTCTATTGTGCCGGCCCTTTGACGGTGGATGTCAGTCACTCAGAAGTGCACAACACTCAAACCAGCTGGATAATACACACAAATAGGTCATGTTTACATACCCAACCTATATTGTAACTGGGGACTATTATGTGCTATTGTCTTGCTGATACAATTCTCTATTTCTGAAGCAGCCTTCCTGAACACCATGGTATACAGTCGTGCTTATAGTTCCCTCTGCGACCTGTTAATTACAAATTAAGATTTAGGACTTCTCAAAATAAAATTTGTCATTAATCACACACACACACAAAAAGAACTCCACTTGAAGATTTTTAAGTTTTCAGTTGCACACAACCAGAATATGCAAAACCTGGAATTTTGTCTCAGCTGAAACATTTGAAGCTGACACTACAAAGACAAACTACATGGTCACAAAAACCAAACACTGCTCCAGGACAAGGGGAAAGGGTAGAGCAGGTCTTAGAATAGTGCCTAAACCTGTGTTTCCTCATTTCTCACACATCTGTTAACAGTCAACTCATGTTGTCTGCTGCTCACTGCTAATTTGCTCCCGCATGACTCACATAGAAGTGGAGACGCACAGGGGAGGGAGGGGAGTCGGTAAAATTAAAGAACGAAGGGAGCGAGAAAAAAGCTGCTCTGGGGCGGCAGGTACATTTCATCCCACATGTGTCTGTGTCAGACCTCATACGTGTAATTAAGGTGTTGATGGTGAACATAGAGCAGGGTAGGCTTCACTGCATGCCGCCCCGGTCTTCGGAGCCCACCTGAGCGATTCGCCAGACGTGCACCAGGTAATTTGAAGCATGAACACACACAAAGCCATGCATGCAAACGCAGACACACAGAGACACACACAAACGTGCTCTGTGAGGTCTTTAGGAGACAGCTGCAAAAGTTTTACCACGCCGCCCCTCGTAGAAAAGTTGCCAGTGGAACAACGTCACCAAAATCTGTACAACCAGGTGACCTTTCTTTACTTTCACCATCCCTCTTTCAATTGTCTTGTATCACTAGGTAGTTTTCTCACTTATTACTTTCGCCAAGGAAGTAACAATAGGCTACATTTTCACCCCTAGTTGGTTTGTTTGTTTGTCAGCAGGATTATGAAAAATCAGATTTTTTCACGAAACTTGGTTGAAGGTTTGTACATCATGGACTGAAAAAGAACCCCCCAAAATCTCAAATCTAATATTGACTTTAAAAAAAAAACAATTTTCAGGGGAAACATCAATCATGTTTATGGGACTGACATCTTTGAGAGTGTGCAAATAAAAATATGGAATCAGGGAATTTTAATGTGGACTGTTGGGGGTTAGCGGAGGTTTATGTGCTCTACTGAGGCCCGTTAAAGTTTTCCCAGTTTTGTAAGAAGATACCTGTTTCTAGCCTGTTTATAACCGTTAACAAAATAAAAGATAGTTGCCTTTATTAATAATGATAAATATTTAATTAATAAGCTATAAATCAGTATTGCACCATAACAAACAACAGCATTTGAGTCACCAGGGCACTAAACTCTTTTTAGATGGTGTGTATCCTCCTCCAGCACAACCTTATCTTTTTAGCAAGAAATTTAATTTATCTGATAAATCATTGTAGATGAATAACCTTGTATTAATAATATAATAGAAACTGGTGCTGCAGCTGAATAGTGGGACGGTCATGTAACTACTTTATGATGAATTAAATTTGTGAACTCACTGTCTGATAAGAAATCAAGATTTTCCTTTTACGGAAGTTAAGTGGACAATATAACTGTACTTTGGAAGTGGGGGGGATTCTTGAGAAAGTAAAATTACAAAACTGTACATAACAATTTATTTTAACTTCAGAGGGGTCTGATCTGAACTGTTTTATGAGATAATAAACAATTTATCAAATATCTAGTATTTGCACCCTGTTCCTTTGTGAAGTTTTCGATACAATGAACAATTTAAATTGATTAATTTATCAAATTTTATTACATTGATTTGATCTTAATGTTACATTCACATTCCCCGAAGTGTACTTCTTTCTCACCACTGGCGCATCTATGTTTCTTACCAACTCCAACTGTTAATCAATAGAAAAACTAGAAACAAGAGGCAGTAACCTTGTGCACAATGCAAACAAAGGGGGATTCACTCATAAAACACTACTCCACTGCAGTGTTATTCACAGATATGTGAGATATTTTATAAAGAGACTGAACAAAAGTACTGACTCTATGCTGAGAATGACACAGACATTTTAACCTTGGTCAATTTAAATACCACCCACAAATCCTCATGTTACCAGTTGATGTATGTCAGGCCTCACTCCAACGACTGAGAAAATCCACAAATCAAGCTCCAGTGTGGGCCGGAATGACGTATGTCCCGTTGAGACTGTTCACCTGGACAGAGTTTTCCAGCATCATGCCTGCCAATGACACTAAATGTGCACGCACACACACACACACACACACACACACGCTTACCAACTGCGAGAAGAGGAAAGACAAAAACCAAGGTAGTGAGAACAGACAAGTGTGTGGTCATGTTTATAGGTTTGGAGAAGTCTGTGGCATTTCCTGATAACCTGTGCCAAATGTGTGTTCCTTCCAACCCCCTGTTTGTCTCTCACACCCACCCTCCCCTCCTCTCTCTCTCTTTCTCCCTCACCATTTTGCAAATATATGTCAAGGTTTTCTTTGGCTCTCTTTGGTGCCAGATTGGGTGTGAGTTTGTAAGAAGAGGTGCCAGAAAGTTAGAACAATAGAGGAACTATTTGAAGCCTATTTAGAACCCTCTTCTGTGAGTAATAGCTCAATTGACGCTATCAGTGTTTTCCTTTTGTGGCCATCCAAGCTTGGGGTAAAAGAGTTTGCCGCATATACAGGAAAACACACAGTAGATGTTCCCAAACAGTCAGTCACTGACAGTACATCAGTGCAGAGAAGGGGGTTAGTTTATCTTTTTTACTGGATGTCAGAGCTCTAATACTGAACCTCAGCAGTGACCCCGGTGCACCCACCCTGCTGCATTTTATGGAGATGGAAAACTGCGACCTTGCTGTCGCAGCTTACAGTAACTTTCTTATTTTCTTATTGATAGAAAAGAGACAAATGGTGCCAATTATAAATTCTGCTGCTAATGTAAACCACATTCTAGTTTCCAGATTCAGGGAAGTTTATTCAGACTTGGGTTGATTGCCCTGAGAGTGTCATGAACCCAGAGGCTGCTGAAAGTGTTGGGGCTAAGTTTAGAGCTAATAGCAGAATCAAAGTGTCATTGAGATCCAATACCGCCTTATAAATAGCATTCACTGGAGAAATTTGACGTAAATGGACGTTATACTTCTATCAAACAGATGTCAGTGAACTTCAGAGGGGTTTAATGACGCTGATCCCTGCAGATTCAGTCATGGGTCATGTTGTTGATGCAGCATCAATCCCATGTGTCACTTCCTGCAATTAGTGGAACTAAACCAAAGAAACCACACTCAGATTTTAACTTTACCACCAATGAGTCATATACAGTTCCAGCATGAGGGTTATAGATTGGGCGAAATGCTCACCCTTGGGGAACATAATACTAATGGTGTTTTGCAGAAATAGCTGCTTTGGGCCAGCAGTTCAATTGAAAAGCTACTGGTGAAGAAAAACATCTGTGTTAAAAAAAGGCTTTTTGGTAATGATGTTTTTTTAAAAAGTACCTTTCATTCAAATGACAAAGCTTCAATTGTGTCCGCCATTGTTTTGTTTGACATCAAAACAATACCAGAACAGCTGCATCAGCATCTGAATGAAAAGAACAAATCTGAAATCTGAAATGAGACAAGTTTTACACAAATCCCCAATTCAACCCAAATATTTAAACCATAGATTTGGATGCAGAAATAATGGTGACATGTGCAAAGATTTACGTAAGATTACATTCCTACTTTCAGTAAATCTGTGTGCACGCATCTGCTGCACTGCCAAATTTGGCAAGCCAAAGTTAAACAATAAAATGAACAAAAAAATGAAAATTACAGGAAAAATATGGATGTTGAACAAACAGATTAGGTAATAGTTTCAATGTTTATTTAATTTTTGTGTCCAAATTAAAGTGGTTTAAAAAGCCAGTGGCCAGAGACACGTGTGTGTCTGCAATCCCACAATTTGAATCCAGCCTTGATTTCATGTCTTCCCCTCTTACTGTTGACTGTCAACTGTCTAACTGTCTATAATATAGATAACAATAATAATAATAAAAGTTAGTTGCATGTACTGAATTGACTCAGTTAAGTCATAATTAGTATTGTCACCGAGATGTCAGAAATTAAATTGTAAGGTGTCATAATGACTGATGCCTAGAGCAACAGAAAAAGGAACACGTTGTTAACAAAACCTCAGAGTGGAGCTTGTTCTCTTATTGTGGTTTTCTCTTATTCCAAATAGATTAAAAAGAGCTGTAGAACTTGTCCCTGCTTTATCCTGCGTCTGTAACTTCTTAAGCCAGGCATGCTAAAGGCTATGACCTCGTCCCCATTTACAAGAGTATCCTGTTACAACCTCCCCTCTAGATTAGCGCCACATAGCACACATACAAAGACCTCCCAGTCCGACACATCTCCAAGAAAAACAAACGTCTTTATGCTCTCCACCCTAAACTGTGGCCATATTGATTCTTAGATTACCATCAGATAAACACAAATACCACCAAGTGAATCGCACATTTTGTACAACCACTGTGAAAATCTAGTGTGAGCATCTGGCTTTCCAATGGCTGCTCTGGGCATGAGATGGCAGAGCTGTCTGTGTCGATCATGCCTCCAGAGGCGTCAAAAGATTAGAAACAGGGCTCCTCAGGTCCTGGGTTTGAACTCACAGGGACACACTCTGCCACGTGTCATCATACATGCAGTTTATTGCTTTTCATTCAGAGGGAGCTTCAGTTGTCTCTCTGAATTATGTGAAAAATGCATGTGTTTGTCTGTAACAGTTTGTACTCCACCATGGAGGAAGAGAAAGTCACCAAACAGGAAATAACTCGCTCTAGGATTTTTTTTACAAGAGCAATTAAGTATTCTGCTGGGAGCCCCTTTCTGCTGTACATGAATGTTTGTATGTACTGAACGCACTCATGTCAGTCCAGTGGGTTTAAGACTGAAATAAAGTGTTTACAATTACATCATAACATTTTTTTATTTCTCCATGTAAGATTTAGGACTATTGGCAGAAATTGAATATAAAATAATCCTAGTGATGTTTTCACTGTGTGTAATCATCAAAATCAGTGGTCGCCAATACGCTGATCCCGATCGACTGGTCGATCTCGACAGTCTTCGCTGTCGATCCCCATAACACTCTGGTCACACTGGCAGCGTCTCTGCTGACGGAGAGCAGCTAGTAGATCTGCTGCATTTCCTTCAATACAAGTCGGATTATGTTCTAAACTAAATGTCAGGAAACTCTGGTATGAAGATGTGCATCTTCCAGTCTGTCAATAACAATCAAAGCCCCGTTAGAACAAATGAATAGATTCAGAAGGTGCAACGCTGGAGTACTCTAACTTTGGGTTTGGGAAGTGTTGGAAATACGTTTGTGACATAGACATTGAAATTTAGGGGCCTTGGTCAATTGAGTGCAATTTGCAGATATATTTGTGAGTTTTGCTTTCTATAACACAATGAGTTTTTCAATCTCTCTGCAGGAGCGACGACATGTTTGTTCTGCTCCCTCTGGAGTCAAACCATCTGCTCCAATGTTTGATAAAAATGAAGCACCTCAGTTCATAACAATACAACACTTTTATTGTGAATATATTGTATTTGCACAATAATATCAACACCATATTATAAACATTTTTCTTTACTTTCCATTTTATCTTTTATACAGTAAATAGTATTAGTGTACAAATGTATACAAAATTTATTCAGGCTAGTCAAGTTCCACAAAAGAGTAATTCATGTACAGTATTAAAGCACAATCAGATATCGGAGGGACACACACATGCCTGCACATAGACACGGGATCCCCGGGGAAAAACACAAGTCAACACGCGACTTTGATAGACAGGCATAACCTGACCACTCCATACCAGCAGGTCACCATGAAGGCGAGGTGGAGAGAACTCAACTTTAATGTGTAAAATTAAAAAAAAAAAACTAACAACTAAAACACTTGTTTGTGATCTTTGTGACTCGTGGTGAAGTAAGGCTATGCAGAATTACTACAGGCAGTAGTGTGTTGTTAAAAGTTCTCTCCAGCACGCCCTGATGCTGACGTGGGCATAGACAGCGTTCAAACACAGAACAAGCTCATCCCATGACATTGCAGCGTTTCGACACTGAGCACTTCAGCATCTGCTTCACAGCACTTATAGAGCAACACAAAGAAGAAACAAGCATAAGGAGGAGAGGGAGGAGAGGAAAAGAAAGAAACAGTCGTTTTGATATGCTGATCTCATTCACAAGTCATCTTGGCTCCTGAGTCTGGTGATCCTGAAAGGGAACTGAAACAGGACTAATAAAGAAGAAGTTATGGAACGCGAGCTCAGGTCTGGTTTAGGTTTGTTTTGAGGGTGGAGGGAAAATGACCTTCCTCTTACATAATCACTATCACTGATTGTTCCTACTGTTCCTACTGACATTGGAATAACTGAAGCAGATTGGACCCATTTCACAATGTCTAACTCTAAGAGCTACACTCTGCTATACTGCAGCAAGCATTAGCATAGAAGCATATCATGATAAGAATACATCTCTGATGCATTGCTTCATTCAAACAAAAATACTTCTTGGGTTACTGTTTAGGCACTGGGAATCTGATGCATCAAATCGGAGACAACCAAAACTGTCAGACCAAGAACGAACACACGTGAAATTGTGATTTCCTAATAGATCTCAATTCACATGGGCGATAGGTATCTATCTATCTATCTATCTATCTGTCTATCTATCTATCTATCCATCTATCTAACAATCAAACTTGAATACTGGCATACACCTACATCTGAGTAATCCCTTAAAATAGACTGGCCTGCAGATTCTCTGTAGTATGTTTGTGTTTATCTGTGGTCCTTGTGGAGCTTTGGTGTCAGAGTACCGGTGTTGTCTTTAGCTCTGTACTGAGCGCATGCTGCTACAATACAACACTTAGCTATAGTCACAAAATGCTTGATTGTTGGAAAACAAAACAAAATGAAAATACATAAATAGGTAGGTACAGTACATTTCAAAAAACACTCAAACAAAAAGGGATATTCTTCATACTGTCATTGCACAGGTTTGTTGAAATAAATGATCATTACAGCATAAGGATTCATACGCAGTAGATATAATAAGCAACAAACAATACTGACAACTACACAAATCAACGCTGTCAGTGAACATACAGTCTTTGAATGGTATTTAGTTGGCATAGTGGGACAACACTTCACCCTCCACCAAATAAATCAAGAGAAACTAATGAGGCAGAATTAAAGGGTTTGGTTAGCTCTTACTCTTGCACCATAGGAGAGTATTAAGGAATATATCATGGACATGAGTGCAGCTGAGCACAGTAGATGTGTCTCTGTTTTTGAAAACAATGAGGAGGAAATGAATGAGCACCCTTTGGCATTGTCAAATGGAAATGCTTTTTTTGGTTGTCAAAAAAAGGACGAAAAGAAAGTTCTGTCTGCATATATCCTGGATGACGTGAGTGGAGTGTCCTCTTGTGAAATGAGATCTTGATCAATGTGTGTGTGTGTATGTGTGTAGGGGTCATGAGTGTCGTAAAGACGTGAAGAGCCACAGAAGCAGCAGTTGGAGCCCGAGCATTGGCCAGAGACACGGGCTTAGGCAGGTCCCTCCTCCGCAATCAGAATCATCCTCCTGTTGGACAAATCAGTTGTCAATCAATCAAACGATAAATCAGATAAATCACTTCATCTACAAGCAGTAGCTCTACCACGACACCATCACCACTTCTGCCGCTAACAATAATCATGGGTTCAAGATAATTTTATGTAGTGTCCTATATTATTTATATATAATAACCTCTCTGTCACATTTTGGATATAGTTTGACATGTTAGGAAAATAAAGCGAGGATAGGCTAGTTTAGCACTGAAAGCTCTCTGCAATAAAAGCATATTTTCCGAATTGACTAATTAATTTAAAATACTCTTGTAGTTGTAGGTGTTCCAGACCACATTCTGCATTCTGTGCATATCTGGGTCTGTGTGTGTGTGTGTCCTCATACACCTGGCTATGACAGTGTGAGACTTGTGTCTGATGGGAGTATTCAGGATATCCATGTAAGCCAAAGGCCTAGGAGAAACGGGCTGGGAGTCGTCTGTATGAAAAAAGGCGAGAAAGCCATTTGAAGCTTCCTCTGTTTACTCCAGTGACAAAATGGACTGGCCTGGACACGAACCCTCTTCCTAAGAGGAGCCAAGCCAAAAGTAATCGGACACATGGAAAGAGAAAAAATGGATTCTGCCTTCTTTTTCTCCGTTCATCTCCTTCCTCTGTCATTCCTACCCTTCCTTTAGCTTCCCACCACAGCGTAAACACGCAGGCACATGACCTACAGGCCTGTTATGTGTGTGATCTACGCCTTCACAACACAACAAAAGGCTGAGTCCACAGAGATATGGGGGGTAGAAATTGTTCAAATTTGGGAGGTCATTTTAATTTCATCACATAAATGATTTATACACTGTGCTCCTTTGTTGGACTGATTTAGCTCATTTTGAATTTCCGTTGCAATCTTTTTTGTTGCTGTATCTTAAGTCTTAATGTTGCATTGCTAAAGGTAAATCTGGATGTGCTTTCATATTAATGTACTGTGTATAATAGGGCTTAATATAATGGAAGTTTTGTGCTGGTCTTTTTTGAGTGGCTTTGGAGATGGTGCTTGAAATAATTTAACACATTTAACTGCCAAGATTCAATCTGCTCTCCATCTGTTGGGGTAAAAACAATCAAAGTAAAAATAAATAAAACATGCCAATAGAATAAAATATAATGTTAGGAGCATAAGCATGCAACAAAGAAATACATCCAACTATGTGTTTTACTTATTGTAGTGGGCCATTAATGGTTGACGAAAATATGCTGTGATATACATATAATGAGTAATTGTCACTAAATATCAATGTGTTTTTGAGAGTTATTTGAGATTATAAGCCTGAGTCTGTGTTACATGACTGAGGGAAGCTTGGATGGTTATGAAATAGAATAAATGGATAAATATCCAACTGATAAATGTTACATAATTATATAATATATATTACTAAATAGATATTAAGTTTACATGATATTAAACCAACTGTGAGCATTGATTTATCACTGAATCACCTTCACCAAATATAACAGCTCAGGTTAGTGTCAGGGAAGAATAAGTGGTGAAGTTCCTACAGACACCAACCCTGAACTGAGCAGCAGAAACAAGACGAGCGGTGCGGAGCTCAAGGCAGAACCTCTGCTGATTGGACACAAGGGCTCATCCTACCAGACAAGAGCAGCAGCCATTGGGATGCACAACCGTAAAACAAGAGTGACAGATCATGAGCAAAAGGATCATAAAAATCAATTGGACAAAACAAACAATGCATGCAGGAAACAAAACAGTTGATAAAGATAAATGAATAAATCAAAGTGTGGAAGAGCAGGCAGTGGACCAAAGCTTTGAATTGACACAGAAAGCCTTAAATCCAGGCTGAAATTGACAGAGGCCAACTGCGAAACCTCAGTTATAGAGATGTTTCCAACAATATTCTTTAGAAGAAGGCACATTTGTTGTTGTTCCTTACATTTTCATTGTTGTCAAAACACGCATCTGGCCCTTTGCGGTATCTCGGGTTCTGAGCCAGCTCGCATGGATCTGGACCTTCGGCTGAACCCACATTCTTAGGAAACTGTGATTTACCAACAGCAGTGCACATTTCACACTTTTCACAACAACAGTCAAATGACACGCAGACTTTAAATGAGTTCCAACTCATCCACCTCAACAAAAAATACACCACTTTATATTTCTCCAGATATTACATGGTGTTGTATAAACATATAAGATAGACAGTCATAGAAATACTTACTGCTATGCAGGTTGCATTATGTGCTCAATCAGTATTTATCTTTATGTCTAAGCCATGTCATATGTCTTTATATATTCCGCGTGCTACAGCAGCATATGGACGTAGTGGTGTTATTACTAACTGTTGACCTCTGATGATGACACCTTTACTGTTACACCAGCAGGAAGCTTCACTTAATCCACATCTGTCAAACAGATATCCTGAATATATATACACACATTGTACATACACACAAACACACTCCTGCTCTTAACCTTAATTCAACCTGATGGCAGCACGCAGCCCAGATGAATTTAAACAAAGAAATTTAATCTGGGAGTAACCTGAGCCTGGCTTTCATATGCCCTGCATCTGGTTTACTGTTCACCCGTGAACATTCAGGAGGGACCTACTGCAAAGACCGTAGGTGTGTGTCCTTGTATTGAGAGTTTAAATCTCTGCTGTCATATGGGGTGATGGATAGAGAGGCTGGAGAGAAGAAGGGAAGTGTAACTCTTGTTGTTTTTTTTACGAGTTGAGTGAAAGGATACAGGGTTGTTCAGCCTGTCGTAGCGGCCTGGGGTCACAGGACAAACATGTCGCCTTGGCGTCAGTGATCAGGAACACCAGGTTGGTGTTTGGCAGCTTCTCGGCACGATACATCCTGGAGAGCCACACACAGATGTGCATATGACAAATATATAGTGTGTATTCATAAAGTAATATACCTGTACTTGCAGCTCCAGTTGACATCCAATATATATTCCCCACAGAAGATTGCATTTACATACAGAGTAAACATTACACAGTATACAAGTGCAGGTGTGTATACACATTCATACCTCTTCCCTCCTCCAAGGATTGGTTTTTTATGGTAGCCATGAAAGTTTCTGTGTCTGCAGTCATTAACATTGGGGAGTAAAGCACCAGACACGTGGGACTCATAATACCTGGTAATTACAGCCATATTTAACCCCCTCAGACAGCACAAATTGACACAAGAAAGGAGGTCAGAGCAAAGTAAATGTGCAGTGGTCCGTGAACGTGTGTATTGGCGAGTTTGAAGTGCAGCCAGAGAGAGAGAGACAGAGAGACGGAAGAAAAGCAGATAAAAGAGCTTTCGTGCCTCCCTCTGCTATTCCGGTCGCTGACAGATCAAGGTAATCTGTGCCTGATCAGAACCCATCAGAAAACAGCTGCCAGAAAACAGGCGGGAAAACAAGTGAAGAGGCCAGGAAACTAACACTGTCCTGGAGCCATCCCCACAGACCATTAAACAGGAGGATGTTCAGGAAGAAGGTACAGTAAGAGATGGAAACTCAGAACACAATGCATTCACAGCACAAGTGGACAGCTCCACTGAAATGAAGCATATACTGTACACACATGCAGAAACAGACACATACCTGGAACAGTTTCCACAGTCCAGGACGCCTGAGTAGGATCTTTCATCATTGTCAAAAAAGTACTGGGTTTGCTCCGTGATACAGCTTTCCTTAAACATGGTGTCTGGTATGTCATCATCTGCTGACTCCACTGAAAATGAGAGACAGATTTAATACAGAAAAGGAAGGAAAGGATTTCTAACAATAAGACTGATGTTTATGATTTACACAGTCACAGCTATTATTGAACACCTGCTTCCAGAAGGTTGGGGAAAATCAGCCCATAGATGAGCTGCTGGAGTATCGACCTAGACCCAGCAAATGAAAAGACAAAACCCCCAAATGAGTCTTGTATGAGTCAACACAACATCTTTAACTTGAATTTAGCAAACAGACACTTCTGATTAATTACCTCTCATCTGTCTACCGCTGTAATCACTTCTTGGGAAGTATCAATCGTTACATTCCGAAAGCTGATTATATTGCAGTTGGATAGACGCATGCATGTTGAATTTTGTGTAACTGCCCTTGTGCGACTCTCAATTACATACAAGCCCACTCCTATGCAAACTCCTACTCTAATGTACAAATGCTCTTCCACTCCCACCCACCAACACAAAAAAGTGAAAGAAACAAAAGGCAGAAGGAGACAGGCAGAACGTGAGAACTCACCAGGCAGCAGTGGAGGCCCACCAGCCGATACTGAGCAAGTCTGCAATGGTAGGCTGGAGAGGCACAGGAGAAGAAAGTCATGGAGAGTAAAATTCCAAAATAAAGCAGACAGGAATGGTAAAAAAAAAATCATGAAACCATTGATTATTTTGGTTAATCATATGAATCCAAAACATATAAACCTAGAGTTGCATTCACTAGAATGTATAACTCTGCCAAACAGTCCCTTTATGAAACTGCATTTAAATTCACAAGATTTCAATTTTTGGTTTTTGAATATGAACCAAATTGCACGAACTGATAAATATCAGTCTACATAACAAGATTCATGAATTGTTCCCTGCGAAATCAACAATAATGTTGAAAAATGCTCACAATGTTAAAGAAAGTAAAAGAAAAAAATCCTGATGATCTGGATTTCCACCAAAATTTAATGAACTATGGAAATCAGTTGAGTATTTTCTCGTAATTCTGCTTATTAACAAACAAGAGACGAGAACATGACCTCCTTGGTGGAGATAGTTACAATATCACAAACTTCAAGAGATAATAGTTTCTTATCAACGTTTGTTTATTTGTCCCAACAGAGTACAAACTGGGTTATTTTATCCATAAATGTGTAAATGTGAGTGTCTAACCACATAGACGGAGCGGGGTCCTGCTGCAGCCTTGCTGTCTTTCTCTGGGTCGCAGACGGACTGGTAGTCATAGGTCTTGTTAAAGGAGTAAAGGGAAGTGTTGACCAGGTTGATCATCAGCACTGGGTCCACTTCGCCAAAGAACTGACCTATCTAGTGAAAGCACAAATCAGAAAACCAGTCAATAAAGGCAATATAAGAGTCTGCTTGAGAGTCTCTTAGCCACCCACATCACCATAGCACGTATAGATTTTGCATGTACAAGTCATTCAGGAAGAGCCCAGTCAGTTGTTTTTCGACAGCCTGTCATGTTCATGTCATAGCGTGTGCCGCTGCCATGACCTTTCACCCGTGGATCAAGTGGATTAGGTGGAGTGTGGGTGCAACAGTGTCACCATGTGTTGATGTGATGTTGCTGTCAGTGTGACAGTGCAGTTTTCAGCTCACTGAACCACGACACCAGGTTAAAGGTGAAGCCAGCGTAAGATAGAATGAAGATTGCAAATAAAAGTCTTGTAATAACAATCAGAACAGGTCACTCCAGAGTTTTCAGAAGTAGCTTGTGTGTTTGTGGAAGCCTTGATACAGTATATGGATGCGTTAGTTCAATTTATATACACATATAAAGAAAAATATATATTGTGAACTGAAAATAGTTTGTATTATTTAAAAAATGTATATTTTCGTACCTATAATTCATATTAAAGATACAGATTATAATATCTTATTGGTCCTTATGTGCGCTGTACTTTTTGTTTTGAGTTGAAATTAATATATCTTGCAATAACCGAGGCTGACTAAAGGCTCAGATGTATTTATTTTTCACTGTGAGTCCTGTAAGATTGTTCATTGTTTATATGGACTGTGAAGAACTCAACAAAAATTATTTTCAAAGAAAGAAAATGTTTTGTGACTTGATGCCATGTAGATGAGAGGCTTAGTCTCTCCTGACAAAAGCACAGGGCTGTGATCTTTTAGCTGTGGGTAAAATATAATAATATATGTATGTTTTTTATACAATGGCATAAAGGCAGCCAAATATTCTGCATGATACCAATGGACACAAAATGTCTCGCAGGATATGAAAACACGATAGGACGGGGCTTATTCAAAAATTTGAAGAGCATAAACTCTATGCCAGACAATGTGACTTAGAATGGATCAAAGAGAACAGATGTCCTTTCTTCACTGACATGAAATGTTGCAAACCCTCCATATATCCTACCTCTGACACACAGGGGCCTCCAGCAGCCTGAAAAAGTGGAGGCAACACAGCCTCGCTGACTTCTCAGATACACAGGGGACTCAGCTCACTACAGCTTCCATGACTGACTAAAACCCATCAGAACCTTCCCTTTGATCGTCTTCCAGTGGCTAGTGCTTTACTTTGCTGGAGAAATGGATGTTTTGTTGTCCTACAGGAGCTTTCAAACAGTTTTGCGCTAACAGGACTTTCTCATAATTTAGCCGAGCCATGAGCCCTTTATTTGACCTCTGTATAAGATTGATGGATTCCTGTGACAAAGGTTAGACGATCCAGAGGTGGAGAAAAGTAAGAAATATTAATGTTGTCAAAGTCTTGATTTTGACTTAATGTTTTATTGACTGATGCTTTACTTATTACTGCTATCACTGATGGTTCAGAGAAACAGAGTGGTGCATACACATGGCTATGATGAGATAAAGAGAATGGCTGATGGTTGCTCACCAGAGAGATGTACTCATCCTGATTGGACATGAGAAGAAATCCTCCATCGTCCAGGATCACACAGTCTACATGCTGCAGGGGAAAAAGATAAAGACTTCAAAAATGCGATAGATTCAAGTGATCATGATACAGTGGAAACTGAAAATCAGTTATTTTAGGACTTTCCTGTTAGTGCAATGTATCAATCTCATAATCTAAAAGTCATGAGTTGTAGCTTCATAAGTTTATTCTATGGGCAGAGAAGACTTAGTTGGCAGAGTTGATTGTCCATAAACCAGAAGATTGGTTTATGGACAATCCCCTGAGAGCTGTTCTGTCACACTGTGAGTGATGTTTAACAGTGCCAATATTTACCAATATTGTAAAAAGAGATAATAATCAAATTGAAATAAGAATTACATTGCAGGCAATAAACTTATCCAAATGTTTTTTCTTATCCTTTAATGCAATATGAAAGTTCTAATCAAAGCTGTTAGCACAGCATGGAGAAAAAGCAAAAACTCTTGATGATGATAAACATGTTATAATCAAAAGATGAAAATAAAAATTCTGATTAGATTCAATGAACTGTATTTCTGTACCTTGTCATTCTTCAGACAGCCACAGATTTCATCCTTGCACTAAGAGGTAGAAAATAAAAAGTTAATCAGTGATGGATCAAAATTGTTCTCAATCATTGGCAGCAAAGGAGCCACGATTTACATCCCCCGATTAAGGTGCAGATTCCTTGTTTCTATTCTTGTTAGCTCTATAGCTTTAAGCAAAGCTACACATCATTGAATATATTTTGAAAATGGTTGCTTGTTTAAGCACATTGCTAAGAAATTACCCAAATTCTGATTATATTTTCTTATTTTAGTGACAACTTGATTTAAGACAAAAAAAAAATACTGACAGGACAGACCAATATCATGTAGCTAAGACTAAGACTCTACATGGCTAAAAGTGTCAGAGATAGCTTATAGAACACAAATAATCTTTATTAACACAACTTACATTCAGTTTCAGAGTGGCATTTATGAAAGTGTTCATCCAGAACGAGACATTGAGTTTCACTCCTACTACTGCAAAACCAAGCACAAATCAGAAGGAGGGATGAATGAGTTGTTTTCATTTGTGTCGCACCACAAGAGACATTCAGGTATCAGCCAAACTGACCTGCTGGTTTGAGTGTGACTTTGTCAATGGTGAGGTCCACTGCTTTGCTCACGAGAATACATGGCTCAGAAACAGGCTCTCTTCCCTCTGCTGCAGTTCAGACAGGACACACAATGGAAGTGAAACAGCCTCATGGCGCTTTTTCTGAAGTTATGTTGAAAAGTACTTGAAGATAACCAGCAGCACAGTTGGAAATGAGAGATTTCTTCATCTATTTTGGGTGATTCCACACATTTTTAGCTGATGTGAGTTATTCCCGTGGAGTGGAGAGCCTGTCAGGCAGATACATGTGTTAATTCAGTCAAGTGTGGCTATGTGGCTACAGCTGCATTATACTGACATTTGCCTGTCCTGGTGTGTGTTAGAGAGATCAGTGGAGATAGCAGGAAGAATACGGAGCATGAGGGAGGGGTGGGCAGGGATGAGTGCTGAAAGACACAGCGGGAAGAGGAGAAGGATTAAAGAGAGTGATATCAGAGGCCCGAGAGTGTGATCTTTGCCAGCAGGGTTGGGATGACGTCCAAAGGCAGGAGAGAACAGGATAGGCTCAGTGCCAGACCACACAGAGGATCATCGTGCACAGAGAAGTGTGCACACATACACATTGTCTGACCCCTTTCAAAAAAACTTACTGTTGAAAGATGGAGCTGTGAAAATATAAATTTCATTGTCCAGTGTCCTTTTGTAGAAACTGGACTCGTATGTCTCAGGATTTTCGCTCCACTCTTCCGCAGCGCTGGAAACATTAATATAGACACACAATGTTATATATGGACAGTTATATGCATTAAACACAAGAGTGAATGTGTTTGATCTATGTGAACACTTTATATTTGAATCTGCAGCCAAATGTTAGTCATCGAAGACAGAGTCACGCCCAGTGCAGCTGATATATGACAAGGGCCTGATCCATTAAAAGCAATAACAATTTCATTATTTTATTGTCAGGAGGATTACACATTCGTCTTCTATTGGAATGTTACATTCTGGCAAAGTGGAGGCCCCCAAATATAGTTCAGAAACAAGCAGCTGAGAGGAAATTGAGGAAAATGAGCTGCGTTTGGCTGCTGGATTTGTGGATTTGACCCATGTCCTGTGCGGGCCTGGCAAGCTCCGGGAGTTCAGCTGAAAGTGTCTAATCCTCCTTGTTCTGGAAAATTACCCAGTGGAGCAGGTGAGTAAATGAGCCAAAAGTGCTAAACCTAAGAGTCGGTGTCTGTTTTCATCTCACTTCAATGAGACATTTGGACAAAAGTGGCTGTGCTTTTTCAAAACGCAGGGGCTAATTCTAGAGGTGAAAACTGAGAGGTGAGAGAAGAGAGTACCTTTGCGGGTAGACTCGCGTGATTCCTCCATCTGTTGCTACAAACCTGGCGACAATCCCATCCCTGAGCAAACGGGAAAACAACAGCGAATCAAAATCAAAGTGAATCATGCAGCCACGCATAAGTGTTTAAAGCTCAAGAGTCGCCCATCTCTATATCTCCTAATGTTAAACAGATACCCTGTGCATTGTGTGCAGAGAGGCATACCATGAGAGGAAAGACAGATGTAATAATTGTACTTTCTTTGCATTTCTTGGCAGAGCTCAGTGTGTTTGGGTGTGATGTGCATGTGGGCTTTTGCTTTCATCGTGTTTTACTCGTTAGACGTGATCAATTCACCCAGAGCAGAAAAGAATGAAAGAAAACTGTCATGAAAAAGGCATCGACTATGTTCATGTAGGAAATGTAGATAGGGAAAAAAGGAGTTAATAAAGTCTGAGAACTAATCTTTCAATTGCTCAGAACAGAGATGAGCAGAAAGGATTCATACTTACACACTCTGCTCATTCCAAAGTTTAACCAGTTCAGCCGTCAGACCTGCGTCCAGGATCAGCCGACTCACAAGGGACACGTTACCTTAAAGACACCACAATGACCAATGACAGCACTTAATAGAGAAATATGGTAATGGAAGCCTGTTGTTTAAAATATGGACAGGGCAAAATGAAAAAAAAAAGATGTGCTTTTGGCTTGCACAGGGATTTCTGCAGTAAATCTGTCCAAAAGCCAACAGTGAAAATAATGGGAAGACTAGTGATTAAGTGAATGGAGGTGAAAGTCAGGCTCTGAGAAAGAGCAGGTGTGTTTAACCAAATCTTCTCCTCGGACACAAGGGGGGAAAATGATATTGTCAAGAAATCATAAAGTGGGGAGACCTGTTTTGTGAAGAACTGGCTGTTGTAGCTTTAGGACAGAGGTGATAACAGGGTATTGAATTAAATAGAAAAGTACTTTTAAGAGAATGATATGTGCATATTTAGTTCAAAGCACACAGTTCCAATACGTCTATTGAGCACTGTTTTAAATCATTTCCATAACTCCATAACTTTTCATGAAGACTCAACATACTGCACAGCCTGTAGCAGGAAAAGCATTAACGCCTGACTATAAGACTTGACCTTGGGTTAAAATGTATCAAGGATACCTCGATCCATTAGCTTGATGACGGTGGTAAGCCATACTAGGAGTGGGATCCATTAGATGATGATGAATCAAACATTGTGAGTCACTGTCTAGCATGACAGCATCAGGCTTCTAGGAAACTCAGTCGATGTGGCTGATGTCACTGTGCTTATAGACCACACTAATCTAATAAGCCGAGTCACGCGTTGACCTTCAGATGTTGACCATCGTGAGATAAGGGGGGGAAATTCTACCAAGATGATCAATAAAACGTATCAGTCATGAATTTCTACTCAAAAACTTAGATCTGCACATATCAGAATGCAACATGACTCACATGCATCTGGAGTGGTTCTATCGATGTACTGGTTGAAGTCGAGGAGAAACTGGGTGTTGTTGAGTGACAACTTCAGCTCTTTGCAGTACTCCCTGAAGAAACATATAGATCAGGTTCAATCCATGTCCTCAGATAGCATCTGGCCTTCTTGTGGCCCGGACAAAATGCACTTGAGCCTAAAATAGCAAATGTGGCCAACGTATGTCCCACAACAAACTTGGGCCTTTTTTGGCAAACATGCTCTTGGCAAAGTGAAATCTGGATGTAAACCTAAAGTGGTGAAATTGTGAATATGGCCCAAATAGCACAAAACAAATTAGGGTCACCTTTGGCACCTTTGGTTGGCATGAAGTATTGCTATAGCTTACTTGTGGCCCAGAGCTGACAAACAGGAGTGGACTGCCCAAGTGCTATGGTTCCATTAGGTATATGTGCCAGATGACAGTGTGGCAGTGTGACTGTGTGGGACACATCTGGGCCAAAACCATGCTGTTATGTGGGATTATATTCATTCTCAGTGTTGTTCATAATGAAAGGGGGTTGTGCAGTAGAGTAAGGGTCACTCACCTCGGAGCGATGTAGGTGTGACCAAATTCATCAAACCTTTCCAGCTGCATCGTCTCCATAGCTTTTGGAAAGACAAAAACATCTGGTTTAGGCTTGTAATTGACAGAATTGTGAAGTATCCCACTTTATTTTTACCACAGTAGGTAGATCACAGTAAGTGCAATAAAGATTATTTTCAATTTATGAAATGATAAAAACACTGGTATTCATGCTGTGAGATTTCTTGAGTCCAGACTCACTTGGTTGTATCAAATTTTAAAGAAAATGCAGGGTGATACATGGACACAGTAGTGCACATACTCTACCCCCCCCCCATGCATACATACACATGCACAGACACATAAAATATTGGCCAGATATGAAGTGATGGATTAAGGTAGAGAGTGTGGATGGAGGTGCAGGAGAATAACTGACTGAGAAATACTTGCCTTCTTGCCCTGTTGTGACCCAGGGGAGAGCGAGATGAGGGGAGGAGAAAAGTGGGGGGGAGACAAAAGATGATAAAAATCCATTCATCATGTGAAAAGTGATGTCATACCTCAGAAAATGTGCTGAAACTCATTAATATTTCCCATAACTTGTAATAAGATACTAATCTGAAATGGAAACACAACAGATCTAATGGACGGACTTTAAATAAGAAAGATGGAGTGCACTTTCTAGGAACATAGAAAATAAAATGATAAGTAGGGGGGTTATATTAAGACAACATGCAAACATAGTAAGTAGTAATGAAAGGAAATTACTTCACTGCATGCGTTGTCTGCCCTGGCTCTGGATTTCATTTAAAATACTGTCTGGTAATTCTTATCTCGTAAATGACATGACAGGCACCGATGGCCATCATTCACTGCTCTCTTAAAATGAAGACAGTTTGGACTTGGCCTTTAAAATATATGAAGTCGTGCGGTGCAGTCTGCAAAAACAATTACTGAGCACTGAGCTTCCTCGGGGTCATGGAAATCTGGTGCAGGATGAAACAATGTCCTCCACATAAAACATAACAGGCAGTTTCATTGTCCTTCTGACACTAAAGACTAAGCGGGGTGTCGATAAGTCTAATTGCTTTCCACACCATACTCTTTCTCTCTTTTTTTTGCTCTTTAATTCTTTGTCACCGTCTCTCGACAACCCCAGTATCAGATCATTTATTCAACAAATACTGTAATTTGACTGTATGGGTGAAAGCCCCCCCTCTAAATTCATCCATCACACCCTTGGCTGAGGAACCTCCCTCATGTATTAGCAGGACAGGTGGCTGCAGGAACCACCTACTGCAGGGAAGTGGTAAGATGGATCGAGGTAGAGGTGGTCTGGCTCCAGCGTGAATCTCTAAACGGCTGTACAGAGAACTTTAGAGTCCCCAAATCCCTATCGGAGCAGTCTGTGGCAGCAAGGCATGGTGTGTTACTTTCTTTAACAGGCCCGTAAACGTTCTGACAGCCTTTATGGCACAGTGACAGACTCGTTATGGTAGAGAGGGAGAGATGCACGGGCCGGAGCGCTCAGTCAAAATCTCATCTGCTGGAATAACTCCGCCATTAGGAGTTTATGCTTTGTGGCGTCACATCAAAGTTATGAAAAATCCAATGAAGCCAGATGGTTCTGTGCTGAATCCTGTGTTTTTCTACTAATTACAACCCTTGATGCAGGCGTCCATCCGTACTTCTATAAAGGGATCATTAGCATTCGTGCCTCACTGTTGTCTATCCATCCATCCATTCATCTATCCACCTCATATATTAAATACTTTGTGAAGTACAACCATGCAAGCAAGTGAAGCACAAACATGCGTATGTAGGAAAACAATTAGTACTTGCCCCAAGTAGAAGCTGTACAAATTCAGCGTAGAGGCAGCAGAGAAGGGAGAATGTGGCATCAGACAATGCAAAAAAAGGTACAAATTGGGACTCTTGCATGCACAGCACAGTGTGGGTGTAAATCATTGAGTTTTATCCTTGTGATTTATGAGAAAATATTAGTTGTGTTTTGAGCTGTTAGGAGAAGCACCCACGTTGAATCGTTCAGAGAGACAGCCTTGAGAGCACAAAGAAATATGTAAAAGAAAAAAAAGGAGGGAGAAGAGAGATTTTCGGTGAAATAAAGACAACGAGGTGAAGACAGATTTACAGATTAGATAAAGAGAGCCTGACAGAGAGAGAATAAAAGTCAAAGAGGTAAGTCTGTCTGTTTCTCTTAAGATGGGCCTCAGGACAAGGACGTTTAGAGATAGAATTAGTTGCTGGAATATACTGAAAAAGAGTGTAGGAGAAGATTAGTTTGGTAATTTAGGCATGGCGATAACGAGCAGGGAGAGGAGGTGAGGGAGGTTTGTCTTCTAAGCCAGGAGGAGGTCCAGTCCAGGGGAGTGAAGAAGAAGAGGAGAGCGAAATGTGGACAAGATCAAAAGAGCCAGTGCTTTGGGCTGGGTCTGGCAGAGGGGGAGCATGTGTATGAGTGTGTGTATGTGTGGGAGTCAGGGGCCGACTGACCAGCGGGTTACACTACAAAAGAAAAGCTCAGTGGGGATCTGCTGATCTGAGCAGCGAACACAAAGGAGTGGCTCCAGCGAGTAGGAAGAAATACAAAGCAAGTGGAGACGCTCAAGTGCACAACCCTGTGAGATAGCTGCACGTGTGGTGAAAATAAAACCTGATTCATTTTTATCATGAGGGTGTGTGTTATACTTACACATAGCTTGTTTCATGTCATCCCCCAGTTTAGCTTGGATGAAATGTTCACTGTATTTAGGCAGAGCGAGAGCCAGGCTGCAGAAGAGACAAACAGTCAGAGTGATGATGATGCTGATGATGATGATGGTGGCGGCATTTTGTGGAAGTATCAGAATTATTTTGGTTGTTTTGGAACACTCAGAATAACTTCTTGACTTCAAATTCGCACAACATTCAAAGCAGTATCTTTCTAAAATGTTGTGTGAAGCACTTTAAAATGTTTTAGTCAAACATGATTATATTGTATTTCTAGAAACCATGCGCAAACAATTTACTGTTAATGTTTTTTCCCATTAACCAAACACAGACTGATGTGAGAAACAAGAGAGCGACCCCTGTTGGTTTAAACAGTGTCCTCCATCAGCAGCAGTGCTCTTGGTAGTTAGTGATAGTGGGTCGTCCTCAGTCAAACACCTTAGTGAAGTTTTACAAGATATTACACTCACTCACCTGTAATCTGTTCCATTGACTGGTCCCCATGTGTAGGTCCTGATTCCTCTATCTATGTATCTCTGCCAGAGATAATAATACACACAAGAACTGGCATTTAGAACTGATTTCTAATGCTAGTGTCATGTCATTTTTCTTATACATTTTTTGTAAAAAAAAAGATCAGTACTTCCTACTGTAAAAATAAACAAGCTTAAACACAATCAGTATCTATTTACATTTTTAAATCTCCTGTACTTTACAATAACAGAGAGCAATTCTCCAGGATGATATGCATCTGCTGACATACATATGATAGGAAACCAAGAGAAAATGATCAAAACATTAAAAAAGTTCCCAGCATACTCCCAGCATAGAAGTGTTTTCATCTTACCTCATCCTGAGTTTTCACCAGAGTATGAATGGTGCGCTCGCCGGTCTCCCCGTCGATCATCATTGTCCTGATCTACAGGGAGAGACGGAGACGCAGACAATTTAGTTTAGTTTATCAGCTGATTTGAAAACATTCTGTTTCATCACTTCATACTAACAAGTTAGGGACACTGAGTAAATCACCAACAGAGACTGTTCATGAAAGCTTTATTGGGAGACATGAGACATCTGGTGTCTGTATACCTGCCTGAATGTGTGTGTGTGTGTCTGTGTGTGTGAGTGAGTGTGTGAGTGCGTGTGCTGGTATGGAGAATTCCATATATTTGCATACTCTACCTCCACTTTGATGTCATTTTCGAGCTCTGCATCCAGGAAGTCAAGAGTTACAGGTTCCTGGAATTTAGGATTCTGTAGAAAGGGAAACACATGCCACAATTTAATACGACTACACACAAACAAATCAAATGACACATGATAGGATTGATTCAAAAGAAAAAACCCTTTACTTTAGGCTTATCATGAGCCAAGTTTGACTGGAAGCAAAGTTTATGATGTAATAATAACCCACATTCAGATCACTCCATCTAAAGCGTGCTGAGCTGATACAGTAAAATATAAAATGCAGTGGACCATTTAACTCTTGTTATTCAGAGATGGGTTTTTATCATGGCAATCAGCCACAGAGAGCAATTTAATTCTACGACTTCGTAATACCATTGCATAAAATAACGTATAGTGGACATCAATTATTTGAGCAATCATGTTCTTTTGGGTTCAATTCAGGAGCAGTGCCAGTTATTTTCCTCTACATGAGAATCAAATCAAATCCAAGGTATAAAGAATCCAGCGGGTACCATATGGCAGCTTTTTGACAACACATCTGTGACACCAGACACAGCCGATTTAGATTTGATACAAAGTGACACTGCACCCCATTAATGTCCTCTCTTAAAAACCCTATACGTCTGAGTGGCTTTATGGTGGTATAAAATAGTAGCAGTAATCTAGTGCCTCTCTATTAAACAGCAGTACATGGAATCTGATACTGGTCTGTCCTTGAAATGTGGGGTGATGTGATGAGAACATAGTATGGGTTACTTTTAAGAATGTATTTGGTTGCAGGTTTGCAGAAATCATGCCCCTAAATGTTTGTTTTATTCCTTTAGATTGCTGAAAGTGAGTTTTTTAAACACTTAAATGCTTAAAATGTGAAACTGGAAGTGCTACCTAAAGTAGACTGAAGCGAGGAGTAACTTTCATGTTGATGCTTAGTCTGGGAAAAAGGATAAGATTAATTTTTTCCCTTCACCCTTCATTTCAACAACATAATGTTACAGTAAAAAAAACAAGAAAGAAATACAGCTATGTGAATTTACAGTTCCAAAGAACATTTGCACTTTATTGACTTGCTACTAATCCTAAACTAATTTGCACCTTCTGATTTCCTAAAGCACGGAAGGTAGCTAGCACACAAACTAAAAGGTTGCAGTTCTCAAAGTCTTTCTTGACATTTTGGTATAGTTTGTAGTTATGTATATCCATTATTATTTGACATAAGTCATTGGCCAAAAATGAAGTTAACCTCCCACATGTAGTAAATTTGTTGGTGCACCCCTGGCTAGACTAACAGGCAGATCTGCAGTCAGCTTAAAATTTGACTAAGAAGGTAGCTATACGTACCCAACTCAAATTAACTTGTACATTTCAGTTAAGTTAATATATTCCTTTTATATGATCTATTGATTTGGGAAATGACTGTCTATTTAAAGTGTAACTAATTACGATCTCTGTTTTAAATAATATGTGACAAAATTACTTGTATTCTGCTGCTCCCCAACACTGCTAGTATTTTATCACAGTATCTCTTCATTTTAAAAGGAGGCTAATGCTTTAACTAGAGAAAGAAAGTGTGAATCAGTACAGTGCAAAAAAAAGCAATACATGGAAGACTATAAATGGCATGAGTAGAGTTCCTTACATTTGGTAGTAAGTGAAATTAAATGGAGCAGCAAAGGAAGACAGTGAAGGTGATGCATGTCAACAAGAGAATGAGAAAAGAAAGAATGAGAGATCAAGCGACGTTGGGCTGACACAGAATGAAACATCAAACACACACAAGGAAGACAGCAGGAAATGGGAACAGCGGATGGTGTGAATGGAAAAGTGGAAGAGATCAAAAAAGAAATATGGAGTGAGAAAAGCAGAGCAACAAGACTAAAAAGACAGGATGAGAGGGTAAAAAGAGACTTGTCAGCAAGAGATCTGAAGAGGTGAGCTGAAGCATGAGATCAAAATAAAAACACTACTGCAACAGAAGTGTGTGTGTGTGTGTGTGTGT